TACCGGGGATTAAACTCAGGACCTTGCGCTTACCAGGCAAGTGCTCATTGTATTTCTTTCTTTTTTTTTTTTTTTTTAAATGATTGTTTTTTCTTTTTGCGGAACCAGGGATTGAACTCAGGCCCTTGTGTTTGCCGGGGAAGCACTTATTCCAGTGAGCCATCTCCCCAGCAAAGTATCTTTTTTTTTTTTTTTTGCACAACTGGGGATTGAACTCAAGACCCTGTACTTGCCAGGCAAGCACTTATTCTACTGAGCCATCTCCCTGGCCCCTCATTCTATTTCTTGAAAAAAATCCACAAAGGATCTGGTTATATCCTCTAAATTAAGGAAGAATAAGCCCCTCATTTCCATGCATGTGCCTTATTTTGTATTTATAACTTTTGCGGGGTTTTGTCCTTTTGAGACAGGTACTCACTATGCAGTTCAAGCTGGCCTTGAGTTCACTTTGTAGCCCAGGCTGGTCTTAACTCACAGCCAACCTCCTGCCTCAGCCACCTGAGTGCTGGGATTACAGGTGTGTGCCACCGCTCCTGTCAACTTTTGTGTTCTTAACCAGAGTCCCTCCAATTCTGTAAGCTTCAGGGCCCACCAGACCTGGACGTGCCCCCGTGCATAGCAAAGTGCTGAGCGGGTAATAGGAGCCCGGCACTGCAGGAGCACTGCCTCCCTTAGCCCTGCACAGTGGGCTAAGAACCCTTCTCAGATGAGGACCGGCCTACGCCCAGGGGTCCCAGTGTCTCCCCAGGGTCACACAGCTCACAGGTGACACAGCCAGGACTCGGTCCTTGGTCTGTGATCCTCAGTCCTCAGCCAGCTTGGAAAGCGCAGCGGCAGCCGCTGGAAGGAATCCACCAATGCCTGTGTCATTCGCTTCCTGTGGCTGCCTGGGACCACTGGGCCAGCACAGGTGTTCACCTGGCTGAAGAGGTCCCATGAGCATCACCAGGCTTGACAAGAAAAAATAAGGATGCCCAGTTATATTCGAATTTCAGAAAAACAGCAAGGAATTTGTTACTATAAATATGTCCCCTGCAGTGTGCCCTGGAATTCCCAACAAAAATGTGTCTTCCTCCCACCCAGCCACCCTGTGCTAGGCCTTAGGGAGTGGTCAGGGGTCAGCTGGGATGCTGGTGGCCGGGCGTGCAGCATGCAGCAGGGGACACAGCAAAAGGAGCTCGGAATGAATAGGTTCTGGCGGGCATCGAGACACAGGACGCAGGGCCTTCCGAGGACGGAGAGCCAAGTCCCCTCCACTTGGCTGTCTCCCTGATTGGTAGACCACTTAAAATCATGCTCTTCAGGCCAGAGGGACCCCAGAGACAAGATGTGAGTCCCAGGAGCCCCGGGTGGGACATAACATGTCTCCTAGCCCGTAAGGTCGTGGATGTCTGTGACTCCTTGGGGTTGCCACCAAAAAAACCTTTTTTTTTTTTTTTCTCTTTGAGACAGGGTCTCCCTATACAGGTCAGGATGGCCTCGGATTCACTGCGTAGCCCAGCCTGAGCTCGAACTCTCGGGGATCCATCCTGCCTCAGCCACCGGAGTGCTGCGATTACAGGCCTGTGGCACCACACCCGGCTACTTGGTATGAACACAAATGGGCACGAATGGAGTAGAAGGCAAACTGCCCGGGAAGGCTCAAGATACAACCTGAGGTTTGGGGCACTCTGCCCTCGCTCCCGGCACAGGCGGCTGGGACCCCGTCCTCGCCGTCAGGACTCCTCCCAGCGCCCGGGCGGGCCGGGACGCACCGGCGGGCGGGGCGGGAGCGGGCGGCCC